AACACACACACACACACACATTCATTCCACAAAAATTACAATAACAATATAAAGTTATGTATAATTACGTGTTTTATAATTATTTTTACTAAAATGGGATGAGACATTTTTTGATAGTTTCATTATTTATACATGTATGGTGAAAACTTTACTTATTATACATATTGTACTATTTTTGTACAAATAAAAATAGCCAGCCTTTTTTCTAGATAAGAAAATTCAATGGTGGCTAATATGTACCATGTTGTACTTTTGCTTCCCTAGGCACCAGGCAAAAACTTGAAATTCTGAAAATACGACTAAGAAGTTTTGTTCTATTTTGCCCGGCGCCTATTGCATTTTGTCGTTTTTTCAGGTCGCCGTAAAAATAACAATATACATGTATATAACAAAATATAATATTTTAATCTGGCCCGATACCTCCCACACATAAGTATAAAGTGTCTTAAAGTTTGGTCCGAAGTGTCCAATGTATGGGCCAAAGTGTCCAAATATCTGGTTCGAAATGTCCAATAATCTGTTCCGAAGTGTCCCAAAATCTGGTTCGACGTGTCTGGTAGAAAATGTCCATTATCCGGAAAGTCCCATTACCAACTCAGCCACCATAAAATTTAGTCCACAAATTTATTCAAGATTGCAAGCATTAACACCTACTCTATTAGGAGTCTGTAGTAGGATTGACTTTGCCTGAGAACCTGGATGTTGAAAACCAGTGTCCCTCCATAACATAAATGATAAATAAAATCAGTAACTAAAGCTGCTGTCCAAAGTTGTACATGTAATCACAACAGAAAGACTAAGTCACCCTTTACAATATTCCCATAACTGTCTCATAATCAGGGCATAGACTGCTATTTATGTATGTGGCCTAGGCTTTTAAGGACCTTTATTTTGTTTCAAGACCTGTTTAAGAGCCATATTGCTGTATTGTATTACTTGTGATCTTTAATAAATATATGTTTTGTTAAATAATGATACCTTGATTAGGTATTCCCTTTGCAATTCTGTGTTTCTATTAAATGTGTAATAATCCACAGTATTGTGGTTGTCATTTTTATTGTTCTATTAATACTGCCTGTCTTTTTGGTACGCCGTTTGGTCAAAATATTGATATAATCCAGTTTAATTTATCCATCTGTTAACAAATATTATGATATTAAATTCACCCAGCTGGATTTCTATGAATTTCAACCAGATCAATCAAACAAAAAGAATACAATGATATAGCAATATTCCTATTATGTACAAATAAAAGTTAAATATATCTTAATTTTATATGAGGTCCATAATATTACCTCCTTTTGATATATTTATATAGTTCTCTTGATTTTTATTATGTATTTTATCTCAAATCACTTTTAACGTTAAACGATCCGTAATCATTACTTAACATAATACCCCTTTGAGATACCAGAGATGAGCCCATGTCGCCCTTTGCTAACTTAATAGTATATAACCTGCCCATATATAACCATATAATTCATTGAAGATTTTTCTCAGCTAGGAAGCTAGGTATGCTGTAGTCCCAAGTCACTTGTGTAAGTTATAAACCTCATAACTGATAAAGTTCTAACTATAATATCACTTACTTAAATATCACCTATGTATTTATATAAATTTATAAAGACAGGTTAATTGGTATCAATTTTATGCTTCATAGGTAAGTCAATTCATTAAAAAGAGCATAATACAAGATCCTTATGAAAAGTAATATAATTGATAACTCAATCCAAATAAACTTTATTAATTAAAGCTTTAATTAGATGACTTAAAAAAGAAATTTCCAATAATTTTCCATTAAAAATACAAATGTAATAGCAAATTCCATGTGGACCCCAACTATTAATGAAAGCGCATAAAATGTCGATACACCGGGTAATTTTATCTTAAACATAACCTCTTAGGAAATGATACAAAGTTTTTCATATAACATACATCTATTATATTAATTAAAAACATATTTAATTGACTAAAATAAGGTAGTCCTAACAAATTTCATTACAAAATATAAAAATTATGGCAAATCCCCTAAGATGCCTAACTGTCCAAGATAATACACTAAATCACTACAAAATATGAAAATTTTACCTAATTATAATGGCCTTGGAAATTAAACAAAGCAACAAGTGCAACATAAATCTATCATATTAATTAACAAACATATCTAATTGACTAAATTAAGGAAGTTCCACCACATTTCATTACAAAATATAAGAATTATGGCAAATTCTCTAAGATGCCTTACTGTCTTAAGATAGTACACTAATTCACTACAAAATGGTGAATTTTACCTTATTATTATAGCCTAGGAAATGAAACAGAGTTATGAATGCAACATAAATCTATTATATTAATTAACAAGCATATCTAATTGATTAAAATAAGGAATATCTCAATAAATTAAATTGAATATTAAACAAATTATGGCTAATTTCCCATGATGTATAACTATCCAAGCTAACACACTAATTCATTTAAAATGGGAGTCATTTTACCTGATTATAACTTCATGGTAAATGAATCAAAGTTAGTAAAGCAACATAGTATTATAATATTAAGTAAAACCTACATCAAATTGACTTATATAAGACAATCCCAGCATATTTCATTGAAAATTTAAGAAAATATGGCTAATTTTCTATATTGCCTTATTTATAACTTTACCACACTAAATTAATGAAAATTTGGGTAAGTTTACCTAGTTATAACGTTCTGGTCACTAAAACAAAGTTAGTAAAGCCGCATAATGTTATACTATCAAGTAACTACTACATCTAATTGACTTAAATAATAAAAGCCCATTGAATTATATTGACAATGAAGAAAGTTAAGGTAAATTTTCTATGATGCCTGACTGTTGAAGCAAATACATTAAATCTTTTAAAAAAATGGGTAATTTTACCTTATTATAACCTCCTAGGAAATAAAACCAAGTTAGTAAGGCAACATATTACTATAATATTGTGTAACAATTACATCTGTTTGATTAATATGAAAAAACCCACCAAATTTCATTGAAAAATAAAAAAGGTATGGCAAATTTCCTATATTAATGCCCAAAACCAGGACGGACAGAGGTGTTCAGATCCACTATCAGTAAGGAAGTGTTCCCTTCCCTGTCCCTGCACTTATAATACAATAGTTTATTTGGAGTAGAGGTCCTGGGACCATTACTGACATGTTATATGGAATCACAAAAAAAGAAACTGTAAAACTGATTTATTAAATTCTTTATAGTAAAGTCACAGCTCAGAACTGTTTACTATTGAGGGGAGAAAATGTGCAAGCGGACTGATAGCTTAGTCAGTAGTCAGCTGCGGCACAGTATTCCAGGGGTCCCTCGCTCAAGTCCCAGTCAGGCTGCATATTTTTCTCACCCTTTGACATTTGACTCCCAACAGTTAGTAATAAAACAATGTGAAATTTGCCTTGAGGGACTGTGATGGATGGTACATGTATAAAACTCCAAGTCCTATTTCACATTGTTCATTGTACCCAATTCAAGACGAACCCGTTAAATTATTTTTTTAATATTACCACATGATAGCTTATAATTACAAAAATCATTTGTTGAGGCTGCACATCAAACAATACTGTGTGCCAGGTTGAGTGCATTACAGCTCTAACATAAACCCGTTTAAAATACATGCTTTTAATCAAATCGCTAAACGATCTAGCTAAAGTTGTTAAACACTTATATAATAAGAATATTTTATTAAACGTTTATAAACGTTTTCAATTTTGCGTGCGTATATCATTTAGCTTATTTCGTTTAGCGTATATCGCTTTGAGTGCGTCTGCGTATTTCGTTTCATAAAGCGTGCGTGTAACGTTCGTTCGTATAGCGTGTAACGTGCGTGCGTTATTTCCGGAATGTGCGTTTTGTGTGTAAACTGACACGTTCACCCAACTGAGCGGTGACAAGATTTATTTGAAATGGAATTGACAAAACACAAATAATTGTAGCACAAAAATAAAATTAAACAAATATATATCTATCTGTCTGTCTGTCTGTCTGTCCGTCCGTCCATCCATTCATCTATCCATCCATCATTCCATCTGTTTATGGACAAAAATGGATTAGAAAATTTCAATTTCTATAGACTATTTTGTTCATATATGCTTTGATACAAATGCAAAGTATAATATTTTGATATATGTCTTTGTCTTTTATAGCAATTATCACATCAGTAGATTGCAGTTATGATAACAATGCCTGTAGTGTTGATGGTAATAGTGAATGTGATACGAATACCGCTAAATGTGTTTGCAAACCTGAATTTTCAGTTACTGGAAATAAATGTGAACGTAAGTCAAACCGGAACGTTTTTGATAATATTTTATTCAATAATATTGGATACGTTACAGGCTTTTTGAAAATAAAATCAGACAGTTGTTTGTAAATTTGTAAGGTAGGTTGACTCGTTTTATTTGAAATGGAATTGACAAAAACACAAATAATTGTAGCAAAAATAAAGTTAAACAAAAATCTACCTCCCTACCTACCTACCTATCTACCTAGCCACCCATCTGTTCATCAATCTATCAATCCATCTATCCATCAATCCAAAAACTGGATTAGAAAATTTCAGTTTTTACAGACCATTTTGTTCATATATGCTTTGATACAAATGCAAAGTATAATATTTTTATCAACGTCTTTGTCTTTTACAGCAATTATCACATCGGTAGAATGCAGTTATGATAACAATGCCTGTAGTGTTGATGGTAATAGTGAATGTGATACGAATACCGCTAAATGTGTTTGCAAAACTGGATTTTCAGTTACTGGAATTAAATGTGATCGTAAGTCAAACCGGAACGTTTTTAATATTTTATTCATTAAACATTGAATACGTTACAGGCTTTTTGAAAAAAAATCAGACATTTGTTGGTAAATTTGTATGGTATGGTGACTAGATTAATTTGAAATGGAATTGACAAAAACACAAATAATTGTAGCAAAAATAAAGCGAAACAAATATCTATCTATCTCTATGTCTGTCTGTCCGTCTGTCTGTCTGTCTGTCTGTCCATCCATTCATCCATCAATCCATCCATCCATCAATCCATCCATCCATTCATCTATTTATGAATAAAAAATGGATTAGAAAATTTCAATTTTTACAGACCATTTTGTTCATATACTTGTATGCTTTGATACAAATGCAAAGTATAATATTTTGATATATGTCTTTGTCTTTTATAGCAATTATCACATCGGTAGACTGCAGTTATGATTACAATGCCTGTAGTGTTGATGGTAATAGTGAATGTGATACGAATACCGCTAAATGTGTTTGCAAAACTGGATTTTCAGTTACTGGAATTAAATGTGAACGTAAGTCAAACCGGAACGTTTTTGATAATATTTTATTCATTAAATATTGGATACGTTACAGGCTTTTTGAAAATAAAATCAGACATTGTTGGTAAATTTGTTTGGTATGGTGACTAGATTTATTTGAAATGTAATTGACAAAAACACAAATAATTGTAGCAAAAATAAAGTTAAATAAATATATATCTATATGTCTGTCTGGCTGTCTGTCTGTCTGTCTGTTCGTCCGTCCATCCATTCATACATTCATCATTCCATCTATTTATGGACAAAAATGGATAAGAAAATTTCAATTTTTACAGTCCATTTTGTTCATATACTTGTATTCATTAAATATTGGATACGTTACAAGCTTTTTGAAAATAAAATCAGACATTGTTGGTAAATTTGTTTGGTATGGTGACTAGATTTATTTGAAATGTAATTGACAAAAACACAAATAATTGTAGCAAAAATAAAGTTAAATAAATATATATCTATATGTCTGTCTGGCTGTCTGTCTGTCTGTCTGTTCGTCCGTCCATCCATTCATACATTCATCATTCCATCTATTTATGGACAAAAATGGATAAGAAAATTTCAATTTTTACAGACCATTTTGTTCATATACTTGTATGCTGTGATACAAATGCAAAGTAAAATATTTTGATATATGTCTTTGTCTTTTATAGCAATTATCACATCAGTAGATTGCAGTTATGATTACAATGCCTGTAGTGTTGATGATAATAGTGAATGTGATACGATTACCGCTAAATGTGTTTGCAAAACAGGATTTTCAGTTACTGGAATTAAATGTGGACGTAAGTCATACAGAAACGTTTTACATAATATTTTATTCATTAAATATTGGATACGTTACAGGCTTTTTAAAAATAAAATCAGACATTTGTTGGTAAATTTGTATGGTATGGTGACAAGATTGATTTGAAATGAAATTGACAAAAACACAAATAATTGTAGCAAAAATAAAGTTAAATAAATATCTATCTATATGTCTGTCTGTCTGTCTGTCTGTCTGGCTGTCCGTCCATCCATCCATCCATCCATCCATCATTCCATCTTTTTATGGACAATAATGGATTAGAAAATTTCAATTTTTACAGACCATTTTGTTCATATATGCTTTGATATAAATGCAAAGTATGATATTTTTATCAACGTCTTTGTCTTTTACAGCAATTATCACATCAGTAGAATGCAGTTATTATAACGATGCCTGTAGTGTTGATGATAATAGTGAATGTGATACGAATACCGCTAAATGTGTTTGCAAAACTGGATTTTCAGTTACTGGAATTAATTGTGAACGTAAGTCATACAGAAACGTTTTACATAATATTTTATTCATTAAATATTGGATACGTTACAGGCTTTTAAAAATAAAATCAGACATTTGTTGGTAAATTTGTATGGTATGGTGACTAGATTGATTTGAAATGAAATTGACAAAAACACAAATAATTGTAGCAAAAATAAAGTTAAATAAATATCTATCTATCTATCTGTCTGTCTGTCTGTCTGTCTGTCTGTCTGTCTGTCTGGCTGGCTGGCTTGCTGTCTGTCTGGCTGTCCGTCCATCCATCCATCATTCCATCTTTTTATGGACAAAAATGGATTAGAAAATTTCAATTTTACAGACCATTTTGCTCATATATGCTTTGATACAAATGCAAAGTATAATATTATGATATATGTCTTTGTCTTTTATAGCAATTATCACATCGGTAGATTGCAGTTATGATAACAATGCCTGTAGTGTTGATGGTAATAGTGAATGTGATACGAATACCGCTAAATGTGTTTGCAAAACTGGATTTTCAGTTACTGGAATTAAATGTGAACGTAAGTCAAACCGGAACGTTTTTGATAATATTTTATTCATTAAATATTGGATACGTTACAGGCTTTTTGAAAATAAAATCAGACATGTATTGGTAAATTTGTATGGTATGGTGACTAGATTTATTTGAAATGGAATTTACAAAAACACAAATAATTGTAGCAAAAATAAAGTGAAACAAATATCTATCAATCTCTATGTCTGTCTGTCTGTCCGTCCGTCCGTCCGTCCGTCCGTCCATCCATTCATCCATCTATCCATCCATCTATCCATTCATCTATTTATGGATAAAAATGGATTAGAAAATTTCAATTTTACAGACCATTTTGTTCATATATGCTATGATACAAATGCAAAGTAAAATATTTTTATCAACGTTTTTGTCTTTTACAGCAATTATCACATCGGTAGATTGCAGTTATGATAACAATAACACAAATAAAAAATATTCCATTCATCTATTTATGAATAAAAAATGGAATAGAAAATTTCAATTTTTACAGACCATTTTGTTCATATACTTGTATGCTTTGATACAAATGCAAAGTATAATATTTTGATATATGTCTTTGTCTTTTATAGCAATTATCACATCGGTAGACTGCAGTTATGATTACAATGCCTGTAGTGTTGATGGTAATAGTGAATGTGATACGAATACCGCTAAATGTGTTTGCAAAACTGGATTTTCAGTTACTGGAATTAATTGTGGACGTAAGTCAATACAGAAACGTTTTTACATAATATTTTATTCATTAAATATTGGATACGTTACAGGCTTTTTAAAAATAAAATCAGACATTTGTTGGTAAATTTGTATGGTATGGTGACAAGATTGATTTGAAATGAAATTGACAAAAACACAAATAATTGTAGCAAAAATAAAGTTAAATAAATATCTATCTATATGTCTGTCTGTCTGTCTGTCTGTCTGGCTGTCCGTCCATCCATCCATCCATCCATCCATCATTCCATCTTTTATGGACAATAATGGATTAGAAAATTTCAATTTTTACAGACCATTTTGTTCATATATGTATGCTTGATATAAATGCAAAGTAATGATATTTTTATCAACGTCTTTGTCTTTTATAGCAATTATCACATCAGTAGAATGCAGTTATTATAACGATGCCTGTAGTGTTGATGATAATAGTGAATGTGATACGAATACCGCTAAATGTGTTTGCAAAACTGGATTTTCAGTTACTGGAATTAATTGTGAACGTAAGTCATACAGAAACGTTTTACATAATATTTTATTCATTAAATATTGGATACGTTACAGGCTTTTAAAAATAAAATCAGACATTTGTTGGTAAATTTGTATGGTATGGTGACAAGATTGATTTGAAATGAAATTGACAAAAACACAAATAATTGTAGCAAAAATAAAGTTAAATAAATATATATCTATATGTCTGTCTGTCTGTCTGTCTGTCTGTCTGTCTGTCTGGCTGTCCGTCCGTCCGTCCATCCATCCATCCATCCATCCATCCATCCATCCATCCATCCATCTTTTTATGGACAAAAATGGATTAGTTAATTTCAATTTTTACGGACCATTTTGTTCATATATGCTTTGATACAAATGCAAAGTATAATATTATGATATATGTCTTTGTCTTTTACAGCAATTATCACATCGGTAGATTGCAGTTATGATAACAATGCCTGTAGTGTTGATGGTAATAGTGAATGTGATACGAATACCGCTAAATGTGTTTGCAAAACTGGATTTTCAGTTACTGGAATTAAATGTGAACGTAAGTCATACCGAAACGTTTTTGATAATATTTTATTCATTAAATATTGGATACGTTACAGGCTTTTTGAAAATAAAATCAGACATTTGTTGGTAAATTTGTATGGTATGGTGACTAGATTTATTTGAAATGTAATTTACAAAAACACAAATAATTGTAGCAAAAATAAAGTGAAACAAATATCTATCAATCTCTATGTCTGTCTGTCTGTCCGTCCGTCCGTCCATCCATTCATCCATCTATCCATCCATCTATCCATTCATCTATTTATGGATAAAAATGGATTAGAAAATTTCAATTTTTTCAGACCATTTTGTTCATATATGCTATGATACAAATGCAAAGTAAAATATTTTTATCAACGTTTTTGTCTTTTACAGCAATTATCACATCGGTAGATTGCAGTTATGATAACAATGCCTGTAGTGTTGATGGTAATAGTGAATGTAATAGTGAATGTGATACGAATACCGCTAAATGTGATGTAAATTTATCCCAAAACTCGTATATTTGATTGATGTTTTCATGTAAGGAACGTTAATAGAAAAGGCGAACAGCAAACGGTTTAAGAATATATTATGAACTTGGGTATAATTAGTTTAAACAAAAAACAAAACTCATATTTAATACAGGAAGTCAAAGGCCGACAGGCGAAGCGGGCTCTTTGACTTGCCCGGCTTTAGATTACATGTGTATATTTGAAAGGGAACCAAATAAAAATATTCAAAAATATATAGATTTCATTATCTATCATTGAAATTTTCAGTGTCATTCCTATTTGGGCGCAGTAATTTTTATGTAACTCACTGGTACTCGGCGAGTATTCCGATAACAGAATAATCGCAACTTTTCGGATTAAGAATAATCGTCGAGGAGTTCCGATTGAAAACGGAAGCGGTGCTTGAAATACCGAATGTCACCTCTTGTACGAAACATGCAAAATAAAAAGGACGAATTTTTTATCTGACTTCCCCGTTCATAGGCTTTGCCTACTTTCATATTACATAAATATATCATATTGGAAATTTAATTGTTTCAATACATTCATTACCGAAACCACTTGTTAATTTGATCTAATCTTGTTTTGGAATCAGTTGATTTAATATAAACGCTGTGATTCTACACAAAAATGGTATCGTTAACACTTGAAAATATATCAAAGCGCTAAAAGTACCGAATAAGACGTCTCTACTAAGTCGTAGAGTAAGACATTACTCGTATAACAAAATTCTACAGGTAAATGAATGTGTTTTGTTAAGGCGTGATACATATTGGTCGTCCTGTCTCAATAGTCTTAATAGTTAGTTTAATAACATTTATATGTAACACAAGGCAGTGTGATATGTTTTTGAACTGATGATTTTGCATGTAATAAACGTGCACGTGATTTATAACGAGATTGACACGAAGCAATTTTCGTGAATAATCTTAATTTTAAATACGTAAGACATATTACAGGTTTGTTAAGTGAAGATCTTATTCATTAACGACCAGTTTTTGTTCTCAGATATAGATGAATGCACTGCAAATATTGACAACTGTGACGATACCAATGGCGGCTGCACAAACACTGCAGGATCATTTACTTGCTCGTGTAACGCTGGATTTAACATTGAGGCTGATGGTGTTACATGCACAGGTAATGCACGAGCATCAGTGTCTTTTTCAATGTTTTGTTGAGGTATTAATTTTCTATGTAATTATTTGCAAACGATTACACAAGTGAATAATTATAAGAACTGCCTGCAACATTACATAAACTTAATGCTGATTATCACTGTAAAATTTAAGAGAAATCAAGTAGGGGATTAGATGACGCTATTGGTTTATACAGAATTTATTTTAGTTCGATTGTGTAGGAAGCTATAAGCTTATAGACACACTTTCGAATCCGTTCCTGGAACCAACCAGTACTGAGCAATTAGTGTAAAGTTTCTTGCTCAAAGAAACAACGACTTGCCCCTGACGGGGTTTGAACCCATCAGATGACGCTATTGCATCAATTATTAGGTGCAGTTGCTTCCGATAGGATAAAATTATTGTAATCAATTATAATTACTTGCTGTTTTCAGATATAGATGAATGTACTGCAAATACCGACAACTGTGACGATACAAATGGCGGATGCACGAACATTGCAGGATCATTTACTTGTTCGTGCAACGCTGGATATGAACTTAAGACTGATGGTTTTACATGCACAGGTAAAATACGGCTGTGTCGTTGTTAAGTAACATATACAAAGAACGATGGATTTCTCGATAGGTCTGTTAATTATTAGTAAAATATTTTTGCAAAGAACTTCCCTTAATTTGATGAAAATAAAATATTAATTTTGGTTAAAGTGACATTATGCTCATTCAAGGGTATACAGGTGACAGTGAAAATAAGTTTTTATGTAGCTATAATTCCTTTTAATTTAATAATTTACTTCATATAAACAATAAATAGCCCCCTAAACGAAACGGAATTTCTATCAATATCAATAAGAACTTACCTGATACGTTTATTGTATAAAAAGAGTGGGGCAGTCTTTTTATATTTTAGGCAGATTTTAAATTTGTTCTTAAACATTTTCCAAAATAAACTTTTGAAATAACAAGTCAATTCAGCTCAACTTGACTATGAAAATATTAGCATAATGTCACTTTTACAAACATTAATTTGACTTCAGCAATGGTAGTTCCTTTTTGCATGGAATAGAAATTGTTATGAAGCATTATTTTAATATTTTTTAATCAATCCATGTACAGAATTTATGTTTAGTTTTCTCATATTTATATGCCGGGCATATTATGTTATACCCCCTGGCGTCCTTCTGTCAGTCCGTCCGTCCGTTAGCAATTTGGTTTCCGGAGCATAACTTAAGTTCCATTTAGCCTAAAATATTCAATCTCCATAGGATGATTGTCCATATCGGGTAGAAGACTCCTATTGGTTTTGGGGTCACAAGGTCAAATGTCAATGTCACGATTACCTTAAAACTGAAAAGAGTTTCTGCTCAATAACTTAAGTATTAATCAACCTTCAGCTTTAAAATTTAATGGGATGAACAGCCTAGTCCAATACATGACCCCTATTGATTTTTGGGTCATAAGGTCAAAGGTCAGGGTCACAACGATCTTTATACTAAAAATTCTGCTTTCTGGAGCATAACTTTAAGTTCCATTTAGCTTATAGTGTTAAAACTTCATAGGATGATTGTCAATATTGGGTAAAAGACCCCTTTTGATTTTGGAGTTTCAAGGTCAAAAGTAAAAGTAAAGGTCACTTTTACCTTAAAACTGATTAGAGTTTTCGCTCAATAATTATTAATCAACCTACAGCTGTAAAATTTTATAGGATGACCAGCTATGTCCAATACATTGATCCCTATTGATTTACGGGTCATAGGGTCAAACGTCAAGGTCACAATAATCTTTTTACTGAACATTGTGATTTCTGGAGCATAACTTAAGTTCCATCTGGTCCATAGTGTTCAAACTTCATAAGATAATTGTCAATATTGAGTAGAAGACCCCTATTAATTTTTAGGTCACAAGGTCAAAGGTCAATGTCACTATTACCTTTAAACTGAAAACGGTTTTTGCTAAATAGCTTTAGTATCAATCAACCAAGGCTGTAAAATTTTACAAAGGAGGATTGCTTTGTGAAGGAGGTAATACTTTATTTCATTCCCATGTCTTACAAATGCTTTATCCTTACTTAAAAAAACTTTCGGGCATATAATGCTCCGCCTAGCGGTGCTCTTGTTTGTTCAGTTAAGAAGCTTGAAAAAGACATATTAAAAAGAACTATGTTCAGATTATTAATTGTTCTATACAGAATCATCAGATAATCAGATAAAGTTATCTTTGTGTAAAATTGTATTTGTTGTGTGTATTAAGCTGTCGTATACTGTTTCATACACAGTGTGGCTTTGACAGTTTTGATATTTACGGTAAGCATGGAAACTGCCATTTTACAAAAAAAAATCCATTATTTTTGAATTCGCCATTAAATTATCCTTTTCCCTGGTCCATATAAATTTTAGAAATTGACTTTGTTCACTTCCATTTTCAGTTATCAGTAACTATTCTCAGGAAACTATCCGAAAAATATGTTATGAAAGTAAGACATTGAAGGAAGAGTTGTTGCTATTGTAATAACTGATAACCTAAGTCATTGGCACTGTACTTATATGAAAATTTGTTGTGTGTTATTCATATTTTACATGCATCATTTAGCTGCTATAACATATTTGAAACTAAAGAAACGTTGTATCAAAATGTATGAAATTTAACTTGAATATTAAGTCAAATAACTAACATTCTAACACTATCAGAAATCTTTCTATATAAACAAAGAAGGCTGGAAACGTGCGTTATTCTTCGATAAAACACTCGCCGTTCTTACTCACTTGCTCTGTATTTTCAAAACCGTCACATTGACGGCGCCATTTTGTTTAAAAAATCTGATAAATAAAAAAAAGTTTTGTTGAATTTTGTTCTGAAAACAGTCTAAAATTTTAGAAAATAGTCTAAGAAAATTAACTCTAACACCAATATCTTTAATTCAGTCATTAACGCTGTATATACGTTTAAAGTGTTGTTTATGTGACGTCATAGTCTGGAATTCAGACGTTAATTCTTTTGCGTATTCATAACATACGCGCTATTTCATACTCGATCGTGGTGTGATAATATCAACGCCTGGGGAAACCTGCTGGGTTTCCCATGTAACTATCGACTAATGATAATCCTTTTTATAGACCGATTAGCACGTGATCAACAAATCACATGACTAAATCGAAATAGAGGCGAAGATGCTGAATGATGAAAATTTGACGCCATTTACCATTATAAATTGCGTCCAGCACATTTCACTGATGCTCTCAGACTTCATCCTCACGTAAATTGTCTTAAATTAATCAGACATGTTGATCAAATTCACTCATCACAATGTAGCTCCAAACAGCGCGTGCAAAAACAGTCAAAACAAGAAGCTATTTCAATGTTTTTTAGTATTCAATATTAAGTGTTTCTGTAAACGGAGGTCTTAACGCCAGCTTTTTTAACCGACTGGAACAGCCTTTAAAGAACGTTTCTATTGGAAACTCTGGGGAGAAAATGATTTAACCACCAAACATATAGTCCAACTAGACATGATAGAATGAAAATAGATATTAATTCTTTGTGCAATATAGTGTTATAATGCACGATTTTTTTTCGTTCCAATGCTTTGTATCGGCTTTCGTGATTATATTTCTCCGCATTTGAAATCAAACCGTGCATTATAGTCTACGACAAAACACTCAGAATTGATATCTATTTCCTAATTTAACATTGTTTTGCAATATTCTGTTCAAATAACAATTCATGTTTATTAAGATTATTTCAGATATAGACGAGTGTGGTACATATACAAACGTCTGTGGCCTTTCTGATGGACTTTGTACCAATACTGATGGATCGTTTACCTGTTCATGTAACACTGGATATATACTTTATAATAATTCATGTACAGGTAAGTTATATACAAACTGACACATAAGCTTTTATTTAAAAATCAAATGACTTGTGGAATTAAAAGTAATGCAACGTGACATCTTTTTCTTGTTCTGAATCAACTTTACCCGCATTGGTTTCAGGCATAATTCCGGTTTCAGTAAGAAGCATGAGATAAAACTGAATTGCAAAATATATTGCACCTTGAATAAGTTATAATGAAATAAGTTCTAATATATCCACAGACAAAATTGTGCACAGGAGTAAGGTTTTGCGAAATAGTTGCTTTTTTGATGATACATTTGACACTTCTTGATATTTTTTTTTCTTACGGTTACAACCTTTGTATAGAAGATAACGTTTTTTCTAAGTTAATTCGTTTTACGAAACGCTCTTTCAAAATAACTTTTTTTTTACAACTGCACTTTAAAACAGAAGCATACTAAAATATGAATCATTTAAGATGTACTAAGTATTACCTTTATTTATCTAGAGCCACCAAGTACACCGAGAGGTTTTACAATAGATTATATTCAGTATAATAAAGCCCGTTTATCGTGGTTACCTGGCAACAATAGAGGGTTGACACAAACGTTTGTTATACAGTTAGGAACTGGTGAAAGGTCCTGGGAAGATACAGAAGTGCAAGATAAAGTCGAACAAAATGATCAACCAATTTCTAAAATTCTGACAGGGCTTAGGGATTCTACAACATACTTTGTACGAATGTACGCATATAACGACGTTGGAAATAGTCCGCTTTCGGAAATTCTCATTTTTACTACGTCACCTATCAAAGGTAAGCATCATGGAAAGCAACTTATAAAATATGAATATCAGGATAAAATTGTAGAAATTCAGTTTAGTTTGTAATCACATGATTCATTATATGCACTCTTCTATATAATTTGTATTACGTTATTAAGCTTGCCCATGCTATGTCACATATAAGACTACATACATGTGAATGAAATAATGTTCAAGTCCAAAAAATAATAAATAAGAAAACTGCATTTTCGTATGGATAATTATGTATACGTTATAGGATCAATCATGAGTGTCATTATACCATTCAATGGTTTCCAGACGGAGGCAATCAATTTTATTAATTGTTTTTGTATACAGATGTACTTGTGTCATCATTAGATACTTTTCAAGTTGGAATTTGATTTCAATTTTTTTTTTCATATTTATGTCCCATTTGAGTAGCCATTTTTATAGTTGTAGCTGTCTTATGTCTGTTACAATGTGTAATCAAATTGTTTTACTAAAGGTTTATTTTCTTTCTGTAAGAGTTTGCTGACAATTTCACAAAATAATAACATTTGATCATTACAATGAACTTATTTTTCAGTTGAAACAGAAACTAAAACTACAACTACATTAATCGTGGGCATTGTCTTAAGTGTAATGGTAGTTGTAGTTATATCGTATGCGATTTATGTTACAATCCAACTGAAAAGAATGCGAGACTCTGTCCAGAAGGATGGTAAGTAAAGATTTCATATATTTGTTAATCAACGATGACTGTTTTACTTAACATACCCCCTCATTCATAACTTTGTAACATTCTATCTGATATATATATTAAATCTCAGTGTGTGTTGATGTTTAGTTTATACAGATTATTCCCCGTAATAACTGTTGCATTACACTTTAAAATACTATTGCGCAAACCATATCATTATATGACAAACGCTAGTAAAATTGAATGTGCTAGACAAGTTATATTTAGAAAATCATACATGAAAGTGCTGTAGCAATTTGTTTTAATGATAACATTTACTTTTCAGGTCGCGCACAGAAAAAAGACAGTCAAGTGTAAGTGTCTCTAAGAAATACTTAATCTAATGATAAATGTATAATGAATAAATATATTACAATTTGTAAACTAAAAATTAGTATTGTATCTAAAATACAAGTTATGATTGTGCTATAATGCTGAATAATAAGAATCTTCATTAAAATCGTATAAGTGTACATGTATGAATGGTGCCATATGAGGTTCAATATTGGCAAGATCATGGTGAAATTTTCTAAATATTCAGATGAGGGAGTTGAAATGATATTACATATATTTAATTTCAAAACAAACACAAGTCAACGCATATGCTAAAACAATAATGCGAAATTACGTGAAAAAAAAACAAACAACAAAATATTGAAAAGTGTTAGTGAAAGATAGTAAATAATACACCCTGTGTGTCCACAAACCACATGCTGGTAGCGTTGTTGCAAGAATGTGACATAACATTGTATTAATTTGGGGGTAGATTTGTGCACTTTTGAACAATTTTTGCGCATATTTGAAACTAACCTGAAAAGTTCAGATAAACTCATGTTCATTAACGGTAATTTGACATACTATTTATACCAAGTGCTTCAAACTGAGGTATTTTACTGACATATAATTTGGAATAATATTGAAGATGTGGCCAGATGGCGCACCAGCCAAACCAGCAAATGCGTTCAAGATCAACAGTCAGGGTGGGCATACATGCAAAAGAATAACTGCTGACATCTTTATTTTTGCAAATTTAATGTTTGACGCATCATCACATTTATTGCGCATGTGTGTTGGATTTGTGTTTTAATAATCATAAATAAATATAATATCATGTCTCTCAACTACATTTACTGAAAATTCTAAGATTGAACATTATGAGACAATTTTACATGCACACTAATAAGATTAGTAAACATTTTGAATGTATTTTAACATATTAAGAAACGTTTGCAAACATAAACACATGTATTGTCTTGTAATATATATTTGAAATAATCATGTAGTATTTTCATTTTGTTTAAAAGGAGTGTACATATCGAAGACTCTACAAATATTCCTGACAGTGGAGGGTATGAAAATCCATATACTGACCTCAGGACAGAAATGAGGGATTCAAGGTCTCCATACGAAGCCATATCAACTATGTAAAGGAATCATCGACAGAAATGTTTCACTTAGATATAAAATTTTAGCTCGTATATTCAAGTCGAGCACAATATATTTTGTACATAAAGAGAAAAATGTAGCAATATATTCAGCTAAATCTATCCTTTTTGTGTAAACATTTTGAATGATAAGCAAGGTTATAATGAATTTAGTGGGAAAGTGTTTTATTACAACTGTTTTGTTTTATTTTCTAAAATTTTAGATATATACTATGCTCCTCTTTGGGTAAAATGCTTTTATTGCCGAAATTTAAAGTGAGAGTAAACAATCTGAAAAGGGATAATCCCTCAGATGCATTGACAACAACAATAAAACACAACAACTTTTGGCCTATTTGAAAGAACTGTTCATTAGAGATAATGTAAAAGGTGCAACATTCATCACGCCCTATAGTACCGGCTTAAGCGTTTTTCAATCTTTACAATTACATGAGAGAATTTATGACCTCGAAGGACAAGAAAAATACAACAGCAAGAACTTAGATAAGGTTAGTTGTATGAAAGTACATGTGTGGTATTATTGTGAAGCTTACGGAAGCGCCTTCCTTTTTGGAATGCTGTGGGTTTTTGGAGATGATTCATCATTTTGGGGGGGGGGGGGGCAGTGATTGTTAAAAAGAAACGTCATTGACATATCATGCTTTAATAGCCCGTAAATAATTATTAATAATGTTATTTTATCATACGAATATCATACGAATTTTTTTATTAATATTTACAAGATATGATATCAGAAAAAACAATTGTTATTTGTTTAAAATGATTTCTCCGCAAAGATTAAAGCTTGTTAACATGTAATAATTGGATTGGCATCATATTGGCAATCAATTTAAATTACACACGACTGCATATTGCCTATTGCAAAAATAATTGGCATCACATTGTATAAACAGTTTGTTTTCATATAGGTTTATCACCTTATTTTCTGCTGCTGATAATTTTAATCATTTATATTTGTTTGTTATTGCCAATAATCAGTGCAAAAAAAAAAAATTATAATAAAACCCATACCTAAATAATTTAGTTTGGTACCTAACTTTATTGCAAGTCAATGATGTTGTGGTAAGGTATTCGCTTAAGATGTGTGAACAAAATAGAGAAAATAAGAACAAGGGATGGAACAAAATAAAATTGAATTTTGAAAGGGAATCAGAGGTTATGAAGCCTGCATATCACAGATAAGACGTCAAAAGACAAATTAAACAAAAAACAGGCCATATATCCCAGGGGTGATTCAACAGTATTCAAGTGAGGAATACTGGAACCACCCAACAAGAAAATAGCCGAATAGAAATAACTAAATTACCACATGCACAACACTAATGTCGTGCTAAACAATCTTTCAGGATCGGAAATATAATAACTCTGATTGAATGTACGGGGCGACTTTTTACAGGTTCCTCACGGCACAAAGAACGCTGATGTGGCGATAAAATAGGGAAAATAAGAATCTCTAAAGAAAGCCCAACACGGCATAATTAAAAATGTTGCAGGCTCGGTTTGCTTGAGCCTGTTTATGGACTGTACTGTAAAGTGCAAACTACCATCCACACCCCTACACCCCTATCTCCGGCTTAAGCAGAATTCAACATTTAACATGAACTGGTACAATTTTGAATTTTGAAACATCCGCAGATGTGTTCATATGGCGGTTATCATGGAACCTTCAATGTGACACGTTAGTGCAATTCCATAAAAAACGGCCTATGGCCCCTAAGTAAAAAATGCATGTGCCCTAAACGAGAAAACAATGGGCGGAATAAAATAAAATGGCTTTTTAAAAGGGGATCAGAGGTTATAAAACCTGCATATCACAGATAAGAGGTCAAAAGACAAATTTAGAAAGCAGGCCACATATCCAACGTATTCAAGTGAGGAATACTGGAACCAACCAACAAGAAAATAGCCGAATAGAAAGAACTAAATTACCGCAATCACAACAATCATGCCGAACGATCTTTAAGGACCGGAAATATAAGGGTTTGTGGGGTTTGCGTTCATTGAATGCCGCCTTTCCTTGTTGATCATGTTTATCATGTTGAATCCCGATGCATGTAACTGAAAAAATGGTTGTGTCCTTTTAGTAACATGGATTTTTTCCCTTAAACATTTAGACAAGATAATTATGCAAAGAAAGATTTAAATGTGAAGAAATAAACATTCTGTGATATTTAAATGCAAGCTATAAACTCTTTTATTTTATACTTATAAATGAAATATTGAGAAATATTGATAAAAAAACAACATATTTTCATTTTCCGTATTTTCACTGTAAAATATTTATTTTTCACTGCAGTGAAACATATATTCTGTATTTTTACTGGTGTCTTTGTCGGGTTACTTTCTGATATATTCGGCCAATATACAAAATTTAAGGGAAAGAGTTTCAAATGTTGATGTCAAAAAAGAGAAAAATGTATATAATAAACAGAAACTACACATACAGGATTTATTTTCATCTTGTGGTATGGAATTTATCATATTTAACTCGTGGCTACCACCACTCCTGAAATATTTATTTTCATACCACTAAACTGTTTTTATAGAGAAAAAACTTGAACATCCTCTATATACTCGTATACTCGTATCAAAGACAGATTTAATGTTTAGAAATGAACATAAATGATATTTAAATGAAAGTTATAAACTCTTATACTCGTGTATCTCTAATGATGTCTTGATTGAAGGTTCCTTAACATGAACGCCTGTTTTAGTTGCTGGAACAGATATGCCACTTTTGTTTCCGTCGGTAACACCAGCAAGGTTTTATATATCATTTGATAAAGCAGTACATTATGGCTATCGTTTTAAGCTCTGTAATGTACTGGATCTGGCTTACAAACGTGCACTATGTTAAGGTAATATTAAAAATTAATTGACATTAACTGATATTTCTGATATTATTAACAATATGATGACAAATATCATTTAATATCAAATATTTTAGTATAACTTTTGTTAAGGTTTGTGATACTTTTATGAAGAACTCAAGGTAATGGGTCATATATTTATAAGGTATGTCGGTCATTTATCACGCACAATCACAGTGTGTTTGCACTTAAACATTCCATAATTTCTTTCATACATCTGTTTATGTCACCGCAATGTATCCTTGCACTAGCTTTAAAAAGTGCTGGTATGACATACGATTTTTTAATATAAAAAAAGTTTAGTAAAGACTACCTTTCTGTGTTTAAATTTGCAGTACCCCGGACTTCATGATAAGCCGTATAGACAGGTATCATCTTAATGGTGATATTTTAAAGTTTTGTAATTGTTCTTTTGAGATGACTGGGATAGTGCTGCACGGATTCAAAAACTTTAATAGCAGCCTTTTATATAGCAAAGGGAGGTCACACGTGTATTTTATTTTCGTTAGGTTTGGTAACGGGTCTGATGACTTTTATGTCTTAAACATATATTATGTTTATGCTCAAATTTGATTTTTTATTGTTGGTCATTTTCTTATTAAAGATTTAGATGTCGTTTCATTAGGATAAAACTAATAATGTCCAAGGCATTAGGATAAACCACTGCGACCGTCTCAGCTCTGTCTATATATAAATTAGACACATGGTGTCGGATTCCTGGCACAATACGACATTGACTAAACACCAACAGATTTAACCACACCATCGATATTTTCTCTTTTATTGGATAATACGCTGCTGTGAAATTTATATTGCAATTCACTTATCTAGTAATTTGAATTAGACAGATAATGATCATTTCAGCAGTAAAACATTCCTCGTTAGTCTTTTATACAGGTTACTAAGTAATATACCCAGTGAGTTGTCTGCAGTTTTCCAGAAAGAAAAGTCATTTGGTATTTTGCAGGAGTGTAATATACAATATTATGCTTTTCTCTCGTCGATTCGAGACTATTATTTTGAAAAATTGCACTTGCACAACCAATATTAGACATACATACAGTGCAATTAGTGCATCTGTTAAATCAATTCATTATCTTAAAGTTCAAAGACTTTAAATTACTTCTAAAAACAACCGCTTAAAGATTAAAGCATCTGAACATGTCAACCATGACTGTCTTGCTCAGCTGGACGCTTACCCATCGATTCGTGAAATCCGATTCACCCTGTGACGTCATCAAAATATAGGTGCTCACACCACTAAATGTTCGCATGGTTATTTTCAGTCCGATCTGATCAATATATATTTCAAAGTCGTTAATTCTTACAGCATAATGAATATTTTTTGGGATTAATTGTAAGTGTGTTTGATAAATTATAACATCAATATCGAATATTTTAAAGTAATTAGGTCATCAGCTGATTGTAGGGTAAGCACATTTACACCTGTTCAGTTACGCATTTAGATTAAATAAAATTGTCAAATCGAGTGTCTAATAAAACTTCTGTAGTTTTCGGATGGTGTATGTCCTTGCAGAAGTATTTATACCAGACATTTATTTAGTCACGAATCCATGGGAAGGCACGAATTGATGAGAATAAGGCATATGTTGATTTATGATTCTCAATCATTTAAAATGATTCAAGGGAGACAGCTCCAGTAATTATCTTATGTATTCATCAGTTTTAATGAGATATAACATTTGAGACGAGGGAACTGATCATTTAGCCTAGGTTCTAATGATTCTGTCATGTAGTGGTGGCTTAAAGCAGCCTGGTTCCCTTATAGGAAATCATTAATTTTTTTATCAAATCCCTTGTTAGTTATTATATGTACCACTTTACAACCGAAAACATCCGCAATTAAGTATATTTACACGTAATTTATTTATGTTCAATTGTGTAGGAATCTATAAACATATTAACATGAATCCGTTCCACGGATCAATGGCGTGCTCCTGATGGGGATCGGACCCATGCATCTAACAATTCATCTACTGAGATACACACTTTGCCATATTTTACATAGTTCGTGATCACTTTAAAATATTTTAAAAAAATCCAATTTTCACATTTATCATTAAATTGTCAGGTAACCGAAGACGCATGCGTTTTGACATCCCTTTGTAATTTTTAGCATCCATCATCTGGCCCCGTGTTCATAAACAAAAGATCAGGATCAAGATCAAACGATCCTGATTTTATATTCCATGTTTTATACGTCAACTAAAATTGATCGTTATTTACTAGTGTTAAATGGTAATAAACAAAATATACAAAGAATGGTTATTTGAACAGAATCAAACCCATTTCGGGATGATATCGACAAATAATAATAATAAAAAATACAAAACTAATCGGCTCAAAATAAAGATCAGTTTTAGGATCAGGATCAATATTGGGATATATGCCGAATATATTTTCAGAAATCTTCAGACATTAGACATGTGAATCTATGCGCTATCTTCCAAAATAAGATATATGTGTTATTTTTATCTTTCGAAATAAGACATATGTATGTTTTGTCTTCAGAAATAAGATAAATCTATGTGTAATCTTCAGAAATATATCTACCTGAAACATGGGGCTCGAAATGAAGAAAACATGACCTTGAGCTAGAGATCATTGCAACAACCTGGAAACGATAAACTAATTCAATTTTATAATTTATTTCAGTCCTTTGTAGAACTTGTAAAATGAAGTCATTAATAACAATGGCCGCTTCATGGTCACCATACTATGATTATAATAAAACATACGAGTACATAATAAAAAGGGACTTCACAGAGGTTAATTGACATAAAGTGACTGAACATATTTTTTGAGATGTGTGTACAAACTTTTAGATCATTCCTTCACCTCGCTTATCCGGGAGAAACATTTTCTTTGTGCAAAAATGATTCACAAACAAAGCGTTTCAACGCTTTTTGTTGCGTTATAAATAAAAGTTTACATATTAATGACTTTAAGGTGGGGGTCTTGCGTAGAAGATAATTGTTTAAGTATTCAGTCATTTTACAAATGGACACAGCTCTTTCATCTTTTG